GTTGGGTTAGTGGGCAGCTGTTCCACGGATGGGCCGGCTGGTGCAGGGGACGTCAATGGAGTGTCGGGCTGGTTGCCAGATGGAGCGCGAGGTGCGTCAGTCGTAGGGGTAATGGCGGCGCCAGGGGCCTTGTGTTTGCGGCGGCCAGGTACGGTGTGGGTTTGAGCGCCAAGGACGGCAGCATGAGGGTGTTGCGCGGGTGTTACACGTTTCACCTCGAAGTTGGATGCGATGGTGTAAGCGCTGCAGTCCAAGCCGCTCAGCTCCACACCACGTTGCGTGTAGTTTTGCACAACGTTGGCGAGGGTGTAGTCGCCATGTTCGTCCGCCTCTACAAGCTCCACGCCGGTTTCCGCGTCTTCTGGTTCCACAGCTGAATCGGATGCCAGTGCAGTGAAGGCGCCTGTCGCCAGGTAGTTGCGTTTGTAGGTTGCTTGGAACGTGTCGTGGCCCGATAGTTTGAAAGCAACCAGTGCCATGCCGGCCGTGATGGTAGCCGTCATGCGATGCACCGCGGTACACAGGTTGCCGAACACGCTGGGTTCATGACCAGTGGCACTGGGTTGGTGACCTGCCATCATGAAGTCCTGTACACGCCCTACGGCGGTACATGTGAGGTGCGCCTGGCTGCATTCGATTGTCTTCGCAGTGTACTTGGAGCTGTAGTACGCAGTGTCACGGGCGCGATCAATGGCGGGTTGTAGGAGGGGGCAGTCGCCGCGTTCGTTGATGGGACGCGCTAGTTGGGCGGCAATGTCAGCCGTGTAATCCCGGTCGACTTCGCAGGCCAGGGACATCAGATGGTTGCATCCGAAGGCCAGAGCAATCGCAGGCATGTGCGGCACCAGGTTGGATGCGAGGCGGGGCAGCAAAAATAGACCGGTGGTACCGACCCACTGGAAAGCTGTGCGGATAAATCGGGGAAAGGCCATGCCGCAGCTGTCGTCGGTGCCACGGCAGCCGTGCCGCTTGCATGTTGAACTGTGGGTGTGGGTGAGGGTGCTGCGTATGGCGGCAGCGCTGTTTTAAAACTAGACTACCACCTCCATCCCGGCACTGCGCCTGCCGTGATGCTATGATGGGCACGGCAGGCGCAGTGCCGGGATGGAGGTGGTAGTCCGCCGTTTGCACACCCTGCCAGGCATTCAAAGTCGTACGCGGCAGGTGGGCAATTTGCCTGTACTTCTGGCACGGACAAGCCGTGTTGCTGCGCTTCCGTATTAGACATACCCATGACGAGAGGCTGCATTTCATTGGTCGGTGTCGGAGCATAG